GAACTTTAATTAATGAAAATTGTATTCAATTTCTAAACCGTCTTTATCCCGAAAAAATTTCAAACGATGACATTTCTGTTTTTCCCATGATTTTCCTACAACATATAGCCAAAATACCCATAATATGCATTAAAATTAATGATATGCACAACAAAGTATAAATAACTGAAACTTTTTTATTGATAAAAGAACGAGTAACTACAGAAAAAAAATAATTATAAAACTCAAAACGTGCTTAATTTGAATAAAAGTACAAAAGAAGAAATATAACATATGATATAGAATCATATGATGGCAACACTCTACTTTACATATCGGTATTAAAAATTCGAATTTTAAATTAATAATTTCTGAAAAGTATTAAATTTATAATAAACTAATGTTATAAAAGCTATTTATTGACCAAGCCAAGCCAGTGTTTCTAAGGCATCGCGAGTATTGTGTTCGAGTGCGTATATTTACCTACCCCTTAATCGTACAGGAAACCATGTCAAGGTTAAAGAGAAACTGAACTAACAGAAACTAAAAACAAAAATAGAAAAGCATCAACAAAACTACCAAGGCAACACAAACCAAAAATCTACAAAGGCAACTTAAGCAAGGATACCAAAAAAAAAAGAAACAAACATAAACACAAACACAAACATAATCAGCTAACCAAATCAGAATGAACTGCGGTGCTTTGCGTGCAATTAGCGACGAGGTGCAAATGCAGACGAGCACATCGACGACGCCGCAGCAGCGGAAGGTGAACTCCATGCCACGTAACGCCACCACCCCGCAGTCCCAGAATTCCGCTCCTCATCCTCATCCCTCGAGATCCTCGGACCAGCAGCCGCAGACGGCGGCTCTCCGGCGGAGCACCATGCCACGGGGCCGGGGATTGGCCTCCTGTTTGAGGGGCGAGCGGGATGACGCCCCCACGCCGCCCATTCACGAGGTCCACTGCGATGTGCAGCAGTTGCAGCTACTGCAGCAACAGCATCAGCTGCAACAACTGCAACAGCAGCAACAGCAGCAACAGCAGCTGCAGCAGCCACACCCACAGCAGCAACATCAATTGCTGCTGCAGCAGGAGCAGCAACTGCAGCTGATGAAAGGCGACCAGGAGCAAAGATCTGGGACAGGATCGGGTGCATCCACTCTGGAGACGGCGGGCAGGAGTAAGTATTTGACCAGAGAAACAAATTGGGATTTTATGCAGGTGACCCGTGGGTCAATACGTGCAAAATTTAACAACCTACATAACATTTTTCTTGATTTTAGAACATTTTAAATTGCTTTTTTGCTACATTTTTAATATTTTAATATTAACTTTAATATTATTCTGTGCTACAAGTAAATTTACGTATCAATAAATGCACTAGTCACAATGATGATTAATTCTTAGCCATTATGATATTTTGATATTTTAAGGAGAGCAAATTTAGAAAATGTGTACAAAATAATCAGCGGCTTCGAATTTGTTTTAAAGCTATGTTTTTTGTACTAACGGCAAGCTCAATTTTGCCAGCAATCATTTAAAGGGCAATTTTTTAATGTTGAAAAATAAAAACAACTTGTTTCTGCTGAAATGTTGTATATATGTAATGTTGATATCAACAAAATTGCCATTGCCACATTTCGTAAAATGTAGACAAATGGTTTGCAAAAAATAAAGATATGTATTCTTAATCTAGTGAAATAATGTAAATATTTATTTTTGCAACTATATAGAGTTGTTGTTTATTTTTCCTATTAGTTATTTAATAACAGTGATTGTGCTTTTATGGTATTGACTTTAAAGTTGTTGTTTGAAAATTAACAGCATAGGGCTGTAATGAGTTTCCCACTTTTTAGCCTGAAATCTGAATGATTCTGCGACATTTATATCCCAGAGTCAGGGTTATTTAATCTGTTATCACAATTCTTGGCAAGAGGAGCACTTCTCTGCGTACGCGGCGGATGGATGACGGATGTGACATCATCGGGAACACACAATCATCGTTTGATTGTTGGATTGGTTGGATTGGTTGGGTCGTTGGTTCGTTGGTTCGTTGGTTCGTCAGTTCGTCAGTTGGATGGATCGGTCATTCCGCTTTGAAGTCAATTGTGCGGCGGTATAATTTACAGTTGCACAGTTACGACTGATGACCCGCGCAAATAAGATAATGCAGTGTTGGGAAAAGTGCCAACGGAACAGTAATAATAATAATAATAATAATAATAATGGCTTGAGCTGGGAACTAAAGGGGCTCGGGCTGTGGCTCTTGAAAAACCCCAGACCCCAGACACCAGACGCAGACTCCTGGGTCACCTACAACAATTGCTCAATTTACGAGCTTGCCCCACATTGTCACCATCATCTAGAAAATTGTATCTTTCGTATCTCGTCTCGACTCGACTCGTCTGTATTTCATATTTTGCATTAATTGAAGTGAATTCACAACAAGCTCAAAGGTCAGGCCATGTAAATGGGTCGGTCGAGTTTTGCAAAACAAAACACTAAACACGAAACACAAAACACGAAACACATAACATCTAGTATTTACACTCTGACATTTGCATTTAACACAACTAATCCATTTTACTCTTTTTTTCCATTTGCAGGTGAGTACAAGTCGAAGACACTGCCTCGCATACATTTCGATACGGCGCTAACCGATTCAGTGCTGAATGAAGGTAACACCAACACAAAGTCCCCCGATTGTTCGATCGATTCCCTTTTTGTTAGTCACTCATGCATCCGTATCTCAATGTCGTGACATTGTTTCCCCCATTTCCATGTGGCGCTTAGAGAGAATTTGCACCAGAGAGACCTAGAAACCCACAAATGCTCGCATTTTTGCCGGCTCAGCGCAATGCGATCTGTTCTGAACTTATCAGCAAGTGTACATTATGATTTGTATACATATATTGTATATATATATATACAACGGCAACGTATATTTAAAAGGGGACTCTCAAACTAAGAAATACTATCACAGCGTGTAACCCCAGACAAGCAAATACACAAAATTATAAAGAACCTAAAACTAAATTGATAAAGAGACTGCTAGAACATTTTCATATTAAAATGCTTATTTTTTACTTTAAGGTTTTATTTTTACAAGCTTCAAGACTTTTTCATAAGCTCATTTTAATTAATATAATTAAAACCATAAAATAATCCGGAATCTTTCAATGAATTTGAAGTTTAATCCAAGTTGATAAAACGAAACAGCTTGTAATAAAATTCAAGTCTCTTTACTTCTAGTAATTATTTTTACAAACTCAAATTTATGTTTAATTGTATGTAATTACTATTCCAATTATCTGTCGAATGTTTATGGCAAGCTTTTGAAAGTAATTGAAGTCAACAATTAGACAGAAACCAAAGAATTTGTCAAATAGGTTTGTTAGCTTTTCAAACCCATTTGAGCTGCAATTTAATTAAAATTGAATTACAGTTAGGAAAGTATAATTTAAAATCAGATTCTAAAATAAATCACATGGGCGCACTGCGAAGCAAAAAAAAATTCTAACTACATTTGTACCACTTAGAACTTGATTTGTAGTTCGTAAAACCTTTCATTAATATTTATAAACAACATGGAATTAACTTGTGTGTTGGCTTTTTTTCAAAAACTCGTTATCTTTAATCTGCAAGCGTAAATTCCTTTTCATTTAATTAACAAAAGCTCTTATTATATTATTATTAACTGAAAGAACACACGTTCAAGTCTAATCTTTAACGAGTGATTTATTAATTATACAAGTATATTAGGTAGGAGAGTTTGTTTTCACTTATAATCTTTATTTTATTTCTTTGCATAAATCAAGGCGTTTTATAATGATCTACACAATTTTCCTACAGTAATTTTCTTGTTTCTACACGTCACTTACCAAATGTCTACTTGACACGACAGAAACTCTATTTGGTCCGTAAAGTATGCCGCACTATATGATGTTTATTTGCCAAACTCCGCATTTAGTGGCATAATTTATTTTGGGAGGGGAATTTCTGTGAAATTAACGGAATTTCGAGAGGCAGGACGTGGCTTATATAACAATCGTCTGGTCAAGGGTTGAAAATATAAGACAGAAAACTCCCTACCCTAGAGTTCATTGTGCCCCTTTGCTAATGCCGATGGAAATGGGAATGAAAATGAAAATGGTTACTTTCGAGAGCGGCTCGTAAACAAGTCTTCCGTTTCGTTGAGGCGAAGGAGGCGAACGTGTCACATAAAACCCAATAGTCACGCACTTCCGCAGTGAAAACGAATAATAAAATAAAATACAGGCCGAGAGGGGGAACCAAGCGTTACGTCGGTTGTAGATGTAGGGGTGGCAAAGGGGTTCCCTCTAATTTGTATTATGCGTTGCCCGGCTGCACAGCTAGCACCTTTCATATACATATGTATGTATGTATACCCACCCAATTACAGTTGAGGTAGGAAAGTATTTAGTAGTAACATTCTCTTAAAATTCAAGCTCTGTTTTTTCACATACAAAACTATTTGTTATTAGAATAAGAAATAGTATATCCAATAGCAACAAAATGATCCCCAGACCATTGCAAATAACAAAATTTAAAACTGGTTTCTTTCCCGCCACTTGTGCTTCATTGTTGTTGTTGTTGGTGGTGATAGTTGCGCACGATAGTGGAACGATAGACCGAATGTCGAACAGCGATCGAAAAAAACTAAAGAAGGTGGCTCTAAATCCCACTTTTCCTCGGTTGTCTTTGACAAAAAAAAAAGAAAAATAACGCACAAAGCAACAGCTTACGCGGGGCCTTAATCTTCACCTTAAATGATCTTTTTGAAAACGATAAATTAAGCGCCAGTGGCTGAAAATTAAAACTCCGATGGTTGAAAACTCGGCTTAAGTTAACTTGGCTTTGCCTTGGTACCGATCGTGAACTATCGATGTGTCTAAACGAGATCTGTATTCAGATTATTCAGATCGATGACATCGATAGTCTTTAACATTGCTGTTAGGAAAGCGATTATTTTTAACATTTCTGTTACGAATTCGACTCAAAGCGAGCCACAAAAACGGATTCTGTTTTCCTCGTTAAATTCGTTTTCACTGTTTCGTCGACGAAAAGACGCTACTGCGCTGCTCCCGGACAAAATCTTTTTAAGCGATCGAAAACGCTAAGTTCGGGAACGGGTATATTTTTCCAGTGCAATATTCGGCCGATGAATTAAAAATAAAAATAATTTAATTAAAGTACTTTTTAAAGAAAAAAACAACAAATAAGTAACGTCAAAGAGAACGGCGTTCTAAAAATAGCACCGTTTATTATTGTTGTTAGATTCCTTAGCGCGTCGGTTTTGTTTTCGGATGGATAAAATTTTCCAGTTATCCCTGTTTTGTTATGCTCTACATTAATATCAATGGATATTTTTTTTTGAATTGTTGCTAAAGCGAGTGATGTTTTTTTTTGTTAAAGTGTTTTATCCCGTTTCCCAACTTCAACAACAACAAAAATAAAAACGCATTCCTGCACACCAAGAAAAAAATGCGTGTTCGTGTGTATTACTGCAGTCTCTCAGCGCTGCATGTGTGCGTGTGTATGTGTGTATGCTGCAACTAAAAACCAAAACTAAACAAACAACAACAAAAAGTAATACAAGAAAAACTTAACCAAGCGACAATGTGATGCGAAAAGGCGATAAGTTGCAGCAAAAACAAAAGCGTGAAGAAAGAGAAAAAACGCGGAAATGCAGTTGAGCGCATAATTTTTATAAGCCAAGCGACAAACGCACACACTCGAACAAAAACCTTAAATAAAAAAAAAACAAATTAAAAGTAGAAAACAGCAACAAGAAGGGGAGTGTAAATAAAATTCATGAAGTAAAAAAGAAGCATCAGCGAAAAGGAGAAAGAAGGAGCAGCAGCGTCAACAAACACAAACACAAGATATACCTGCGTGTGTGTGTGTATGTGTATGTTCTCTTCTTACTCTTCAAATGTGTGTGTGTGCCATGCTCTCTAAAATACACTGAGCGAAATAAAAATTATAGACGACTTGCACAAAATGTTGAGCACCAGCACAACAACAACTATAGCAGATACACCAAACACTGAACACAGTGAGACTCCGATACAAGCTACACCGGAAGAAAAATCCCAAAGACGCCGTTCCACATTCTATGTGCCCTTGGTAATCGAAGACGAAGAGGAGAAAAGTGGTCTGGTGGATCTGGTCCAAAAATCATCCAGCAACACCAGCCTGAGCAGCAACAGTAACTCCCTAACTAATTCTGAAACCAAATCGGCCAAAAGCTATAGTCTTCGCAAGTCCAGCTCCGTGAAAAGCGGCGTGGCCAAGGTTAGTGCTCTTTTCGAGCGGAAAACATCGCACTCCTCCTCCTCATCGAAAATGTCGCCACCCTGCGGTTTCAATTGGAGCATTAGTGGTAGCGAGAATACGGCCCAGTATTCCGATACCGATGAGGACGAGGAAAACTCCTCGGAGGCGCGGCATCGCGAACAATTGCTCAAATCCCTGCCCACTGGGAATAACAATGCCGCCGCCTCCCCGTCGAAATTGAAAAGATATGGCATAGTGCTGAACGTGATCAGTTTGAATGGCAGCGATGGGGAGCAGTCCTCGATAGGTAGCAGTACTATACCCATGGGTATTTCGACTGCGCCTAGGACTCATTTCAATGAGGACAACGATATCGTTTTGGCCACGCCCCCGCCGCCCAAACAGCAGGCATTATCCGGTCAAGAAGCACAGGATTATGACGATGATTCAGAGATCAGTCGCATGCAGACAAACACCTCGACACCCATAAAGCTGATGAAGTCGCGATCGCGTACCAATATACTGGCCGTACCGCTGCCCTCGGTTGAACGAGGTTTGGCCACAAATACGGCGACTAATAACAACAACAACAATAATAATAATAATAATAATACCTCATCCATGGGAACGACTACCACGACGACCACCACGCTGATTACGCTCCGTGCCAAATCGAAGACACTGCCGCAAAACTTATCGCCCTCAGTTGTTTTACGCGAGGCAGCCGCTCTGGATGAGCTCGAAAAGAAGCGGGAAAAACAGCAGGCGAAGCAGGAAAAGCAGGAAAAGCTGCAGGAAAAACAGCGTCAGCTGTTTGGCGGCAGTACCGCCAGTCAGATAGCGGTATCCTCATCCCCCTATAAACTGCAGAACAGCTGTTCGGCCACGTCCATTCTGACGCACAGTTTTCCGCCCAAAAACCTATTTCTACTCAAGTCAACGCCCAAACTTTCAACGGATATAGCAGGAGCCACGCCCCCGAATACGTCGGTGATCTGTTCGCCGCCCAAGAAGTCGCTTAGTTTTATACGACGCGCCCACTCCACCAAAGTGGCCCGCAGTAATTCCCTATTGAAACCAACAAACCAAGCAGGTGGCTTAGGATCTGGTAGCGGATCTGGTGGACACTCACTTAACCATCAGGGAGCCATGCAGGGATCATTGTCCACCAGCTGTACTGGGGATAGTTCCAGCAACAATGGCAGTTGGGGCAAACATTTCTACCAGCCCTACGACGTCTGCCCCTTGAGTTTGGACGAACTGAACTGCTATTTTCAGGCCGATCACTGCGAGGAACTGATCTGTGAACGTTTCAAGATCAGGGATCTGGCCATACACATGACCTCGGCATCGGCATCAGCAGCTGGAGCGGATCTCTCGGTGGCCACTGAGAATGAGGCGACGGCAACGGCGGAGGACGATGCGGGACATCATTCCGGTAGGTCGATCCCATCAACGAAATTCGTTGTCTTTGTCTGTGTCTTTGTCTCTGCGCATGAGTATCAAGTATTTCCTGTGGCAAACAACCGAAAAACAACCCCTTTTGCGATTCCACTCCATTCCATTGCATTGCATTCGATTCGATTCGATCGAACGATCCCCGTTTGGCCGTACAATGGCTGGTTTGTATCGAACAACGGCGATCGCATTTGGTATTCCCCTATCTGCACAGGGTCACGATTAGATAAGACCCAGCCCCCCGCCCCTTCAAGACAGTATGGGTCAAACTTGTAGGTCTATTTCTAGGTTTTGATGGATCATATCTGAATACCTCACAAAAGGACTAAAATCTAATAACACTCGAAAAATATTTAATTGTATAAACAATATTGGCTTTCAAACTAGAATTTTGAAAGTAAACTCAAATATTAACCAATAACCAAGAAAATTATCAATCTCTTAAATCTTCCATTTAAACTTGCTAAATCTATTATGACTAACAGGTGAATTCAAATGCCTACATCTTCTTCTAATTTAGTTATTGATTTTTTGTTTAATAATCGCATTTCTATCAACTTGAGTAGAACATTTAATGAATAGTCATTTTAAAATGATGATGGCTATTATTAAACCCCTCGACACAATGTAATACATTGTAAATTACAACTTTTATAATGGGTACACTCTTTTATGGGCAGATGTTTTAAGGGCTATTATTATGACCGCAGCTGTGCAACTCCCCCTTCCCCATTCGTTCGTTCTTCACACTTTCTGGCGGCTCTTATTAAGCCTTCCTGTGCGTTTCTTTTGCGACGTTTGCCATCATGAAGCCAGCTACTTTATTTACACACGATCGGAGGTGAACCCTCCCCCAACCACCGGCATACCCGACGACGACTATATATATAATTATGTACGTGTACATCGAAGTATATGTATGTATTCTTTTGGAACGTAGCCCAATTGTGAGGCTCAATTGTAGCTCAATTTGATGGCCCTGGAAGGCAGTGGAGCGTCGCACCATGGGCTTAATAGAAGTACACACAAAATAAAGAATATTTTATGATATCATATTACACAACAGATATTGGACTGGTTTATGTGGTATTCTATATCGTGATTTTGATAGTTTTTTTTTTTTATTTTATTTAATCTTAAAAAGCAACACTGTCACATCATTAAGTACTGTAAATGTAGATACTCGAATTTATTATTTACAATTTTTGATAACATCGATTTGCCTTTTTCTTGATAAAAAAAGGGATGGCAAAAAGTTATTATAAACTCGAAATGTTAAATCGAAATCATTGTTTACATCAAGTGTAACTATCTATTCAAGTCTTTTAAAATGTTTTAATAAAATTAAATTGCTTTATGGTTTTTTTTTTTAATAAAAAACACTTTAAAATTTGATGTTTGTGATTTTTGACCTTGTTTTCTCACGGTGTAGAACCCAAATAAACCGATCCGAAAGTGATTGAAGGGAGTGTGTATAAGTGTATCTATGTGCCATGTGGGCATCCTCTTGCATTCTGATTTTGTATTCCAGGAACGCCATTGGTGTTTCTACCAACTAGTGACGACTTCTTGAGTTATACCCGATGTGCTGGTCATTGAATCGGAATCAGTTTTCTATACTTGGAACGCCGCGAAGCTCATTGCATTTCAATGAGTTCGAAAGAGACAGAGAGAGAGAGAGAGAGAGGCGCACGACAGTACCGTTAAGTATCCGATCGATTCGCATTAACACCGCCGAAGAAGTGTGGCCAATTCGATTTGTGATCATTTAAATGATGGTCCCACTGTGCGGCGTCGTTTCTTTCTTTCTTTTTTTTTCCATTTTCCATTTTTTCCTTCCACTCTCTGGCAACAATTTCAATTTCGTTGCTTTTTTCTGGACTGTTGTTATTTTATTATGATTCACACACACCCGCACAAGAAACCAGTTTTTTTTTGTGAAGCGAGAAGAGAGCGAAAAAGAGAGGAGACTGAGAATGCCAAACAAACGAACCGCTTTATTTTAAAACTCAAATTGTTGCTGCCATTTTTCGCTGATGCACTGCAAATAATTGCTGTCAATTGTATGGTAGTTTAGGAAAATGTACAAACAAATTGAGTTTTTTTTTTTTTCAATCTTAAGTACTTGCAATTATGTTAAATCATCTTAAATTATTACTTCGTGTCAAAACACTTGGGCAAATAAGTTTGTCATGTAATTTGTAATGCTTTAATGTTTTGTTTTGCCTTCTGGCTTCTTATTGCGTCTCAAACTCTATATTTGCTGTTAGAAATTTATACATTAAAAGAAAAAACCTGATTTGCCAAAAATTGACATTTAAAAAGAACAACATAATGTGGTTTGGTAAAATTTATTCCACTTTTTTTAAATTAGAAATTCATTGAATAAGTTGCCATTAAATATAGCCCAAATACACTGATCCATGATTTAAAAACTGTATTTAATTTAGGTACAAAATATACTTTTCCATTGTACTTATAGTCAATGACGAGTGGCCAGCAAACATGCAGATAGTGGGCACTGTGACGCAGTCGGTTTGCTGTTGTTTGCCGCTGCATTCGCTCAGTGCAGTTGCAGTTGCAGTTGCATTTTATTTGTAATGTGATAAGGCGCAAACGCTTTCGTAACTAACGACTTAACCCAAGGCGGTTTTTATATTTTCCGTCGATAAAGCGGACCCGCGACGATGGAAATAAAATGAAATAGACAAGGCAGATAGGAATATTTATGTTTTTGAGGAAGCACGAAACTCAAATATGATTTCACTTTATTGATCGTAGCCTTATCTGAGCGGAGAAGAGTGACTTGTGGGCCGTGGGCCCATAGATCATATCATATATCACACATATCACTCAACCGAGAACTGAAAACTGTTGACATTTTCGAGAATTATAGCGGAGAGAACAAAAACAGAAACAAAAACAAAGAGAAGATAAAGATACAGGGGCCATTTATCTGCCACGATCGCTGGCTAGTTCCATTTATCAGGGCTCCACTGACGGATCGTGAGATAGTGAGTGATCACTGTACGCATTTTCCACTTTCCACTTTACTTTTCGTTTGGTTTTGGTATTGGTATTGGTATTGGCTTTGGCTTTGGTTTACTTAACGCGCTGATAATTGAGCGCTGACCTTATCGCACAGTTAGCATCTGCCCAAGGCACCCAAGGTAGCTACGATCCCAGTCGATCTAAGTCGATCCGATTCGATCGATCTCCATTTTGGTTCGGTGGTGGTCAGTGAAAGCGAACCAGAGCCCGAGCCCGTCTCTGTGCCACCGTCTTTAATCCGTTTTAATTGCACGTTGTCTTAAAAACCCCGAAAAAAACCAAAGAATTGTGACTGGAAGTGACTGTGACTCAAGCGATGAGCAATTTATCTCCCCGTGTGTAGTCAGCAGCATTTCAGCATCATCACCTCACATCGCAACACGATCATGATCTCGCAGTCTCGGAGGTCCGGTCATCTGGCCAAAAAAATTATTACACACTCCAAGATTGAGTGTAATAGGTATAGGCCCCAATCTGATCTCTGCTGACTTCATAGCGCTATATATGCGATTAGCCAGCCCACCTATTTTCCCAAAAATGGTATTTTCCATCATTTGGTTTTATTGAAGCACGGAAACACAGACAATCTCTGTTGTATATCATTCAATAGAGACTTTATCAGTTGTTGAACCCTGGGTTACATATTTATGAGTGGTCTTTTAAACATCAGTTCAAATCCATTGCAATCCCTATAAAGAACTCTTGTGAACAGTAAAACATAATAATTACTTTCCTAATGAAGCAGAAATGTTCGAGTAATTGCGGCTTGTTTCTACAGAAATATGATAAGCCAAAGTTGCCCTAGATTTTTATGGAAAGTATGAGAAGAATTGTTTATAATTAGTTGAAAAGGTTGAGATATCATCCATCTTTTCCATGTTTTTTTTTTTTATAGGGTGTGTGCTTTTTTGCCACTATTTTGTGATGGTTACCTATCTGCTGGTCTGATTTGCGTGCCTATTCTAGATTTGGCGCTAATCTGGGGGCGTGGAACACCCACTTTTACCTTCTACAAAAACGGTATAAATGCGCCATTTTCGACTCACCTTCTTTTTATTTATATATATTATAGACTTTATCGCTTTGGATTTGATGCTATTTCGCTTTGGCTGTTTGCTTTGCACGCCAGGCGGTAAGATTAAGATGATGATACAGTTGCTCATCAACGAGTTTTGATCTTATATAGGAATATTTCATAATTTTTTTTTATTTTTGCCCGCTCTTTTTTTTTTTTTTTTTTGGTATTATTAATAGAAGTTGTGTGTGTGTTTAAATGCCACGCACCACCATGCCAAACATGACACAATTTCTTTTGTTTTGCCTTTGGTCTCCCCCATATGTTTTGTTTGTTGTATTTTTTGAATGAATGACAAATCGGGTTGTTTGCATCTGGTGGCCATTGAAATGAATCAACCTGGAAATGCGGAAGGGAGCCCTTTTGGACAGCAACAAAATAAAGAATAACCGATGGGCGGGCGGAGTAGCCCATAAAACATGGAAATGTCCGTATTCCCGATGCCTCTTTTGCATGCCATCAGATAAAAAAGATGTTTGCTCTTCATCCCTGATGACTCAGAATGGGATATGGCCACGTCCACGGGCCCTCCACCCCTCCACACTTCACCCCCCCTTCATTTTCATGGCTAACTTTGTAGGTGGCCTGCCTTCGACAAGGTCGCTTTGTTTCTGAGCTCGTTCTTTATTTTCTTGGCTGTGCGGGCGGCTTTGTAAAGAGGAGAAGGCAGATGAAGATGCCCAGGCACAAACTGGTTTTTGGTCTCCAAACTCCAAAGCAGCTTCAACTACGATTGCACTGGGCAAATGGGGTTTTAAGAGACACTTTTCCGAAGTTTTCTGGGAAGCATTGTCTTTCCATTTACAATTTAGTGGCAAAAAAGGCCGCTAAACTGTTCAAATTGGTTACAATAAATTAACAAAAAACAGTTGACTTCGTTGAAGAAAATCTTAATAAAATAATTTCATTCAAGCAAAATATTTTATTTTTTTTCTATATATTTACACATTACCAACAAAGATATCCTGTTCAAAATTATGTCTCTTTACAATACCAAGTTTATAAATTATTTATTTGATTTGATTAAAAAATACATTTTTTTTATTTGGCTGCTGCTTTAGATGTTTACTTACCAATTTATTATTAAACTTAAAAACATTTTTCAAGCAGAGACGAAAATCAATCTGGGACTTTTGACAAAGCTTAATGAAGTATTTAAATAAGTCTTAAAACTTAAGCATGCCAGTTCTCCTATTCTGAATGAATGTTATTTAAGATAATAAAAAACATCATGTTTGATGGTTAAATAACAGATAAATTGGCTAATTTATCTAGGTAACTTGAATTTTGACCACCCTTGTGTGTACTGATTGATGTTATTTTGACAAAGCTTAATGAAGTATTGCCATTTCTCTTATACCGATTTAATTTTATTTAAGACATTAATAAACACAATGTTTGATGGTTAAATAACAGATAAATTGGATAATTTGTTATTTAGAAAACATGTCTAGGTAACTTGCATTTTGACCACCCTTGTGTACACCGATTGACGTCATTTTGTTCTATTTTCTTTGTTGAGTGTACTCACTGAGCATCTTGCCACGGTAATGGGGCACATGATGAATCATGGTTACCTGCCGTTGCCGCTGCTGCTGCCGATGTCTAATTTTCCATGTCTTCTGGCTGCTCCGGCTGTTGTTATTTTATTTTACTTGTTTTTTTTTTTTTTGCGGCAGGTGATGCGGCGATGTTGATGGCTCTCCGGAGCTGGGATAAATTCATTTGAGCAGCAGCTGCTCCTTTTCTTTTGTTCGACAGGCTAAAACCAGTTTTAAGTCGTCCGAAAAAAAAAGAACAAAAACTGAAACCGATTTATGGCAAAGTGTGTTGTGTCTGTTTTTGTTGTTCGGGAGTCCAGAAAAATGAGCGGGGGAAGATGAGAACGAGGCGGAAACGAAACGGAGCAGGGAATTCATCATTTAGGGATTAAAATATTTGCTTGAATCACCTGAAAAGGAGGTCAATGAAATGTATTTGAGATGAGAAATACGAGATGCCCGTTGTTATGGCACTTGTGAGATAATCCCTTTTCTAACGAGCATATCCTTGGTTTCCCCTCTTTACAGATACTTCCTATGAGAAGGCGTGCCGCCGTGGATCCGCCCCCACCACGCCCATTTTGGGCAGCAAACAACACCAGACGGAGCACAATGCCACCTCGCGATTCACCAACTTCTTTTCCAAAAAGTAAGTTTTATTTGTAGTTCGATTTTTGCTTGCATATCGTGCTATTTTGATATGTTAACGATGTTTATTCAATTTGATAGGTATAAGAACTGTGGTCCGATTTTCGTAAATATTTACTTATATCTCAGTGCTTTGCAGCCTTATATATTATATTTTTTTTATTCAGAAGTCGTTTTTGCTTCTCGTTTTTTATTTGTTTTTCTGTGTTTTTTTTTTTTTAAGTATAAGCTCAATTAATTAATATATTAGTTTTTGTCAGATGATTGGCACTTATATAACTATAAAAATTATTAAAAGTTTATTTTTTGAAAATCTTTGTAAAACATTTATTTCTTGCCTAATGCACACTTGAGTGTTTATTTTTCGCAAGAAGAATTTCCTTCATTCATATTGTATTTTTGTATATTTGTTTGTTTATTCAATGCAAATATTGTTGAAACCTAGTTTGTTATTCGTATACTCTAATGAAATCGATTAAAAATATCGAAATAACATTTTTATATAGGCAGCAGAGTGCATTGCACTTAATATCAAATGATTGTAGCTCTTAAAAATATCCTATAAACTATAGGTATATATTTTGGTTTATTGAGAATATTTGCGTGTATCTAGCTCTTGTTTTTTGGAAGAAGATTTCGTTGCTCGTCTACCCATTAAACTCACCAACATATCATTTACGATTGTATTTTTCTGTGCGGCCCAACAACAGATCCAATCCCCTGAAGCGGACCAAGTCGGTGACCAAGCTGGAGCGGACCAAGCGCGGTTCGGGCGGACTGAGGGGATCCCGATCGCACGAGAGCCTGTTGTCCAGTCATGCCGTCATGTCCACCATAGGTGAGTGGCTACGAGTCAACAATGCGTACGTTCATAGAGCTAACCAATATCCCTTTTTGCCCTCCAGATCTCTCCTGCAACGGGGCAGTGGGTGTGGCACCCGTGCACCAGTCCGTTTTGGGGCGACGTCACTGTTTCCAGGTGCGCGGCGGGCCGCGTGGCGAGCGTTACTACTCGTGCGGATCGCGCCAGGAGCGTGACCTCTGGATCTACTCGCTGCGCAAGTCGATTGCCCCGAATGCGGAGCACACGCGTCGCACGGACAACTCGCTGAAGATGTGGGTCTACGAGGCGAAGAATCTGCCGCCAAAGAAGCGATACTTTTGCGAACTGCAGCTGGACAAGACGCTGTACGGCCGGACATCGGTGAAGCTGCAGACGGATCTGTTGTTTTGGGGCGAGCACTTCGACTTCCCCGACATACCCGAGATCAATGTGATCAATGTGAACGTGTTCCGTGAGGTGGACAAGAAGAAGAAGCGCGACAAGTATCAGTTTGTGGGCTCCGTGACGATACCGGTGCGTGACGTGACCTCCAGACTGCCCTGCGAGCACTGGCATCCCATACTGAGCGACAAGGCGGGCGACAGTCTGGGCCGGACGTCGGGCGGCGGCGGCGGCGGCGGAGTCGGCGGAAGTGGCTCCGGCAAGGACAAGGACCAGTTGCCCACGCTGAGGATCAAGTGCCGTTTCCAGAGCACCGAGATCCTGCCCATCAATGTGTATGGCAACTTCTTGGCCTATCTGAAGGAGAACTACAAGCGTGTGTGCGAGACCCTCGAGCCGGTGATTGGGGTGAAGGCCAAGGAGGACATTGGACAGGCTTTGGTGCTGCTGATGCATGCCCAGGGATTGGCCGGCGCCTTCCTCACCGATGTGGTGGCCCTCGATCTGTTGCGCGTGGGCGATCAGAGGCTGACGTTTAGGGGCAACTCACTGGCCACCAAGAGCATGGAGGCATTCCTCAAGCTGACGGGCGAACAGTATTTGCAGGACACGCTGTCGGCGCCCATCAATGAGTTGATTCAATCGGAGCGGGACTGCGAGGTGGATCCGACAAAGGCGAGCGGTTCGTCGGCAGGCTCGCTGCAGCGGCAGCAGGCCGCCCTGCGCGGCGCTGTGCGGGGGGCGTGGCAGTGCATATTTGAGTCGCACAAGCATTTTCCCGCCCAGCTGCGCAATTGCTTTGCCACGTTCCGGGAGCGCTTGCAGCAGCTGGGCCGCCAGGACATGGCCGACAACCTGATCTCGGCGAGCATCTTCCTGCGCTTCCTGTGCCCGGCCATCCTGTCGCCGTCGCTGTTCAACATCACCACCGAACTGCCATCGGCGCGGGCCACGCGCAACCTCACGCTGGTGGCCAAGACGCTGCAAACGCTGGCCAACTTCACCCGCTTCCAGGGCAAGGAGAACTTCATGGAGTTCCTCAACGATTTCCTCGAAGCCGAGGCCGATCGCATGCAGCAGTTCCTCGAGATAATCTCCACGCGACCGGAGCACCCGGTCCCCGATTCGATACTCGACTGGGCCGGCTACATTGACCAGGGCAAACAGCTGTCCATCCTCCACACGCTGCTCAGCGAGAGTCTGGCCAAGCTGCCGGAGGCCAGGCAGCACGAACTGGACCCCCTGCAGCACATTCTGGACGAGATCAGTCGGGCCAAGGAGCAGGGCTTGGGCACAGCGCTGCCGGGTGGCTATCTGCCGGCCACATCCGCCTCCTCCACGCACTCGATAGCCAGCGAGAATCAGGAGAATCGCAATCCGGGCTCAACGGTCACCCCGCATGCCGGCTCCAATCCGGAGCAGTTGCTGCCGCAGCAAAGCCAGTTGGCTCAGCCGCAGCATGCGATTGTTAGCAAACCCTTGTCCGCGGAGCGTGGCATAATGCGTGGTGTACTCACACCGAATTCCCTGGAGAAGAATATCTTTCGTTACAATGATCCCACGGTTAATGGTTTTCTCCAGCAGCAACAGCAGCAACAGCAGCAGCAGCAACAGCAGCAGCAACAGCAACTGCAACAGCAACAGCATCCGCACCATCAGCATCCCCTACAGCTGCTATCCAATTCACAAACGTCCATTGCCGGCGGCAATCAGTATATGAGTTCGCCGGGTGGTGGCCTGCAGCATGCCCAATCGCAGACCTCGATGGCATCCTCATCGATCAATGGCAGCATCAGCAATCTGCTGCATGGCCACCATCCGCAGCAACAGCTGCAGCTGCATCCACATTCTCAGCCACATGCACATCACTGCCCGCCGGCGCCGCAGACGAGTGCCTCCAGCACCATGGAGCGCATGGAGCGGATGAACTATCCGTATTTGGCGCACAATGGCAACGACTACGATTCCAGCACGACGCCATCCAGCACTCGCTCCAAGACACTGCCACGCAACGGCAATGGAAATGGCAATGGTAATGGTATTGGAATCCAAGCCAATGGCAATGGCAACATGAGTAGCAATAACAACCAGAGTGGCAGCTACGACGACATGCATGGCGAGTTCCAGATCCAGATATCGGGACTCGATACGAGCAGTGCCTTTGTGTGCAAGTCACCCACGCCCATGATGAAATCCAGTTTGGGTCCAGCTGGGGCGTCACGTGGCGGTCACCACAAGCTCAACCTGGGCATACCCGATCATTCGGTTGGCTATGTGCGCGGCGGCGGCGGCGGTGGCGGTGGCGGTGGCAATCCCAACTCGAATATGCCCAAGAATCTGGAGGATCTCGACGATCTGTTCAAGTATGCCGAAGAGCATGATGTGGCGGAGTCAACTAACCATCATTTGCACAGCCAGAGTGGTCACCAACAGAGTGGTCACCAACAGAGTGGCCAACAGAGTGGTCACCACAAGCCCGCTGGTGTGCCCGGCAAGGAGCAGCTGTCGGCGAAGAGCAGCCACTGCAGCTCCGGCTACCAGAGCATCTCCACCAATCCCTCGCCCTCGCAGTCCTCCAGTCCCGTGGAGAGCCAGCTGAAGGCCGCGATGGGCACTCACAATGCGCCGCTGGCCTTCAAGAATCCCTCCTACCAACTGCAGCAGCCCCCAACGGGTTCCTCCCGTTCCTCGGCTGCAGCTAATCCCCACCAGCAACAGCAGCAGCAGCAGCAACAGCAGTTTGGCAGCCGCCTGAAACCCATTGGCGGTGGCTTAGTGGCCGCCAGGGCGGCCTTTCTCAATAGCGGCGGAGCGTTGGAGGTGGCGGCCACCCTGACGCCCAGTTCCTCGGATGAACAGTTGTCGGGTGACAACTATTTCAGCTATGCAGCGGCGGCGGCGGCCGGAGCGGGTATGTCCACCAAACTGGAGGCCCAACGTTCGCTCAGCGGCGGCAGCAGCTCCTCCACCTCGGCCTCGGCGGCATCCACCTCGAATCTGGGCAAGAGTGCTGGCTCCTCCGCCTACGGTCGCCTGAATGGGCCACTCAAACGGGAGGATGTCTATGGCAGTGGCTACGGCGGCAGCAGCGGCAATGTGGGCTATGGCCTCTCCACTTCCAGTGTGACTGCAGCCCATCAGCAGCATCAGCAGCATCAACAGCATCAGCAGCAGCATCAGCAGCTCCAGTTGCAGCAGCAGCAAAGGGAACGGGAAAGGGATAGGGAAAGGGAGCAGGAACTGAAGCAGTATGCAGGCAGTGTTTCGGGCAGTGTGGGATCGGCTAATTCGGCGGCCCAGAGGCGTCTGAGTTTGGATTCGGCACGCACGCTCTCCGACAGCAGCACGGATACAGAGGGTGAGTTGGACTCTATACATATATCTACCTATCTATCTATCTATCTGTCTGGAATATAACTAACTAAGGATAATCCTTATAATCCAGGACACTGCAATCAAATGCAGGAGGGCAAGCGACGCAGGCAGTTGCGCAGCAGTGGCGGCAGTGGAAGTGGCAGCGGCGGCGGAGGAGGAGGAGGAGGAGGAGCTGGTTCGGAACAGGGACTGGGAAAGAGCTATGACCAGAACGGGGAGATCCAGCTGCTGCAACAGACGCTGGACACGCTCCGGCACACACTCGACCGGGACGAGGCGGAGCTGCGCGACTCCAGCGACGAGCTGTTCGGCCTCCAGCGGCCAGCGGGCAGCGCCGGCAGCAACGGTTCCAACAATCTCAGCCTGCAGTCGGAGTCCACCATGCGCAGCATCATCGACAGGTGGGAATAGCACTCGATTTAAGCCCAAAAACCATGTAGCCGAAATGGGTTCTTTAAGCTGTTTGTAAACGTGTGTGTGTGTGTGTGTCTGTGTTTTGCATTAACGCAATAATCATTTCTTTTTAACTTGTTGACAATAATTTAATATGTTATCAGGGACTTAAATCCACACGCTGCGTCTTTGTGTATTTCGCAAGCCTAGTCAAGGCTAGTTTTCTTCTCTTCAAGGATTAATCAGTTTAAAACCAGCATTATCTGAACATACCATTATGATTTTTCTGCATACCAAATTTTAATGGTATTTAATTTTTAAATAACATGTAAAATTAAACAATTGCTGCCGCTGCATCTGCACCGTTTACAACCATGGCGCCTTGATTAACCACCAATTTCTGTAACATAACACTTGAAATAATTATGCAGAACCAGTCCTTCAGTGGAAAACTTAATTAAAGTTTCTTTCAATCCTCCTGCAGACTCATCACCATGGAGGAGGAGCTGCGCCGCGAGCAGTTGAAGATGTCGCTGGCGCTGTCGCACAAGCAGCGCGTCATCGAGGAGCAGGGCCAGCAGATCGCGGCACTGGACGCGGCCAATAGCCGGCTGTTGAGCGCCCTGACCGCCCTGCGCCAGCGGTACGAGACCCAGCAGCAGCAGCAGCAACAGCAGCAGCAGCACCAAGCACCACCAAAGACCCAGAAGCCGCAGTGAGCGGATGGGGGAGGAAGGGTAGAGATCGGAGGAGGATTGCAAGGAGACCGGATCCGGAACCGGAACCGAGACCTTGGCTAACTGACGGGTGGCATCTTTGTTGTACACAATATGCAAACTTCTGGACACCGTCGCGGTTCTGTCTTATGGATACCTTTTTGTTTATTTTTTTTTTAGCTATTTTTTTTGTATGCTACATAAATTATACTACATGTTTAATATATAATTACACATATAACAAACATACATTATAAATAATTTCTCAATCTTATGTTTAAAAACAAAAACAAAATGTGAAAACGCAACTGCAAAAGCAGTAAGATAAACCGCAGAAGTACGGAGCATGGAAGTGAAGAAGAAACAAGAACAAGTTAAGATAATGAATAAAATTATAACCAAAGTTAGACAAAAATGCATGAGTTGTTTACTTATTTCTTTCATTTAAAAACTTATTTGTCTTGGGAATTCAAAAAATTCAAAATTTATTTAATGGGCTTAAGTTTTACAATTCACATAAAACATTTTCAGCTTAACTGCCATTCAAATTTAATTTTTAGTATTTTCGTTTGTTTGGTATTTTCGAAATCCTTTACTCTCCAAAATTTTTAAATACTTTAAATACTTATTTGGATCGAGTCAAATATAATGGGAAGATGTCAATGAGATGTAAACTTACATACTGTTACATGCACCTTACACATTTTTTTGACATATTTAACTAGTTGACATAACTGGCAATTTTACATGCTTTCTACGTATTTATATGTAGAGTTGTTTTAAAGTCTTGAAAGGTAGATGGAGCCAGCAGACTCAAAATAAGTTAAGCATATTAAAAAAAACAAACCAAATATATTTATATCTTTGTATATAAATATTTCAAAAACTAAAAACGTTAGTCAAATGAATTCAATTAAATTCAAATTGATTAGCTCATCGTGAATATCTAAACATACAAAAATCAGAGCCATTTTCACCTACTAATGCTGTTTCGAGAAAACAAATAAATAAAGTGTACAAAAGAAAATCAAAGCAATCTATTCAATACTCAAACAAAATACAGATATGTGAAATTTCCTGTTAATAATTTAGTAAAGTGAATTGTACAAATCACATATTTAAACTGATCTTCTCCACAGGGAGCCAAATAATATGTTAGTTGGATGAGTAACACAATCGGCAATCAGTTCCAAATGCGATCGCCCTGCTATGTCAACGATTGTTATATGTGAAAACCATATAGTTTTTCTTTCCAAAAGAGGGGCTATAAATTGTAACGGAAATCTGGTTAACGTTCGGCGGTCGGGGATCCCCCGAAAAAGGGGGGCGCCTCAGCGACTGCTGATGGACTGGCCGGTCGACTTTTGACGCCTCTTTTGTTTTCCTTCGGCTCTTTGTTGCCTTGTTGCCTTGTTGGCTGCGGCTTTTCATTTTTCCCAACCGTCTTGTGATTAATTACATTTTCTTATGCCCGTTCTCTCTCTCTCTCTCTCTTTCTCTTTCTCTTTCTCTCTCTCGCTACCCGCTTTTCAATTCAATTTTTTGGCCGCATCGTCAGCTTCATCGTCAGCGTCACTTTTTGAAATTAAATTTTGATTAATTGCAGTCGGCACCTTTTTTATTTGGTGTTTTCGAGTGCGGCGCTACGGGAAAAGTGTTTTGCAGCCTGCAACTCCGCAATCGGAATTCACTGCACTTGCCCCGCACCCTATATATCTATACAAGTATATACCCTGTCCACCAGACCATTGGCCTGTCACCCCCCCGCTGGCAGTCGGGGAAAAGGAAAAACCATCTCGAGACAAAATAATTTTCAGGTGTGAAAAATTTTGAAATGCGCTTTCAATTTGCGCTGCCGACAAGAGAAGATGGGAACGGAAAGGCAGGCAACGGAGTTGGAGTTGGAGTTGGAGATGGAGAAGTAGAAGCAGAGTGCGCCCCATTAACGCAGCAACCAAATAAAGTCATTACCAATGCGCCGGTTTCAAAAAGGAAAGGGACTGGGGGAAGATTGCACAGGGAAAAAATATGCTTATATTACAAGATGTGCAAAAATGCATATTGAAAAGCATTAAAAAAAACATTGATGAGTGAAAAAATTTTTAAAAGAAGTTGTTATAAAACTTACAAAAGTCTTTAAAAGGTGGAAAATTTTGTGATTGCTTTTAAGACAATTAAAACTGTTTGAAAATATTTTACAAATTATTGAAACTCTTTTCAGTTACTAGATTTTTCTTAACAAAAAACGTTTATTGGTAGTACGTTGATCTATTTTTGATAAAAATGCTTAGTTATTTTATTGGACCGCTAAGAATAAATACAAATTAAATTTGTTGTGAGTACTTATTCTACAAAAAATCGATATGTTGGTACAAATACTGTTGATACCACTAAGAAATACCGAAAATACAAACAGGTTTTTACAAAATAGAAAACTATTTTGGAAAATAGCAAAATAAAATAATAAAAAATTTAAACATTTAATTTTTATATTTCCAAATCGAAAAAAATTAAAAATAACAAATTCTGATTACCAAAATATATTTATTTCCAAGCGCAGAAACTATTAGTTTTTAAAATCACACCTCAAAACTGAATAATTTTCGCGTCTCTTATTTAATTGTTTTAATAAGCAAATTGTTAAATTAAGCAACTGTATTTTTCCAGATAAAAACAATAACACTCGCCATCATAGAATGGAGTCAAATTAGAAATCCAATATGAGGAAATATTAATTTAACGAAATTTTATCATGTGCCGAAAATATCTCGTAATAGTAAATGGACATTTATCTCAATTTTGCTCCTGATTTTGGGTTCGCAATTTAAAATAAGCTAAAAATGGAATTAATCCTCTGTTGATAATTGTGTTGCCCAGTTTACCCCGTTTCTTTTGTCAGTGCAAAGGCACAGGTAAGCTGCCATCTAATGCGCCCCAAACAATTTGCTACGTAGGCCGCAGCCACACCTACCTGCTGCCAATGGCCAACATGCAATGTGCCGTCCAAAACACCGCCCCTTTTGTAACCTCCACCCCCGCGCCCCGCCCCTGCTCCACTCCTTTTCCCTTCCCCTTTTATCCATAGACCTAGAGCACAGCTCGTTTGCAGGAACCAAGTCCAAGTTCCTTTTCGTGTCTTGTGGCTAGCTGCAAGTCCAACTCGAGGACCGAGATCAGATAACTCAATTATTCGCGGCGTAAACAAATGCTGCCTTTCAGGGTTTTTAGCCAACATCCCGTCCATCTGCAGCACAACCCCATCGCCCCACCACCTAGCACCACCTCCCCCCACCCCCTTCGAAGGGCAATGGAATGGAGTCGAATGGGATGGGTTATTATACCAGGCATAAATGGATTGTAAACGTGATTTTTATAGTCATTTAGCATAATAATGCATTTTATGGTTTTGGCCAGTCGGAGCACTCCTCTAGCTCCCCTTCCATCTCACTCTTTTCTTCTTCTGCCGCAACCGTCCAGTTTATGTTTCCTTCGCCTGTGCTTTATTTTTCGCGGTTTTCGCGTAAATTAAGCCCGACTTGGTGGCTTTCGCTGCTGATTAGTGCACAGATTTCAACTATGGCCAAGTGGCTGAAATAAATGTGGCCCGACAAGAGCTTTAATAAAATGTTATGCATTTTTAATCTTGACTTTTTAATTTCAAACATAAGCACCTCAGACTTTAGTTCTCTCGAAATTCTGGTAAAACCGAATTGTTAAACAACTAGAAAATTTTGAAAAAATTTCCAAAATCTAAAACATTTCATTATAAAACGTAAATATAAATAAACAAAATAATAAAAATAAAATAATAATTAATTATTGTTATTTACGTGTCTTACAAAATATGTAAATTATTTTTAGGTAAACTAACATTCTAGAAATAATTTATACATTTTGCGATGCCTTTAGTTTTGCTAAAAATATTCTTATAATATTTGAAAAACTATTAACTATTAAATATTTAGTTAGGACCAATATCTTTTGACCTGGGTGAACCTTTTCCATTGATCACAAAACTTTACCGCCGCATAAACGCTATTCTCCCAATCCAGTTGAACAGTCTTCAACTTCGCCATCGACTCTTTTAACCAATTTGCGCCCCGTTCACGTTTGTTATTCACGCTTTTCAATTGAGAACACGCCGCCAGATGTGCTCCACCGCCCCTGGAGCCCCCCTCTGTGCCCCCCTTTTCATCCGGTCAGTTCCTCGCCGCCCCTGGCAGCCCATTTTCGGGGGGGATCACGGCTGGGGCCTCGTTTTATTGTTTGTCTTCTTTATTACAAGTTAAAGCGTAATTACTCAACAAATATGCGGCAATTTGCAAGCGAACAGCAAGTTCAGACTGAGCCGAGCCAGTAGAACTTGAAGACCGAATCCGCAGACGGGACACGGGACACCGGGAGAAGGGACCAGAAGAATCGGCCGAAGAAGAAACCCAAGGGAAGACGCTGCAGAAATCAATCGACCAAATGTCCGACTGCAAATTTGTTTTTATTTATTTCCTACTCGGGCTGCAAAACCGAAACCCAAGATGGGCACTGAAAGAATGGCTATTGATCCTCTGGAAGATTTATGAAATCACGAAAAAAAAAACATTAAAATATGTATTCAAGAAGTTAACTCTTGGCTTGTTTCATTTAAACTAATATATATCTTTTGGATCTTATTTATCCAATAAACCTTGTTTTGTTTAAATTAAGTTTGATTTTTAAGATCTTTGCGATATCAATATAGCGGTCTTAACTTGAAAGACTGTAAGATCTGTGATAAAACAAAAAACCATAATGACATATAATAATAATAATGATAGCAGTTGCCTCTTGGTTTGTATTTATTTTTAATATATATACAATTTGATGTATTTTTTAGTTAGGACTTGTTCACCATATTAATTTGCATTGTATTATGGTAAAGTGATTGGTTTTTTAATTATTTTCTTATAAAATGACGCTTATTTTTGGGTAAAATACAAATCTGCAAGTAAAGAATGAAATTTTTTTTTAAGTATTTGTAATTTGTTTTATTGAGAGGAAAAATTGTAAAGCATGGAATAGCAAAAACTATAATTTAATGTTCCAAAGTTGTTTAATAAAAATATGTACAACTTTTCAAGCATTAAAACTTAAGTTAAGGTTTAAATTTCTTAAAACCTTTGCAAGACTTTAAGTCAAAACCATTTTCAAAATTTGTAAAAGACTTTTTTTTGGATAAGTACATGACTTTTTCCCCAGTGGAGCTTAAACTGCGGCAAAGACTGGCTGGATGGATGGATGATTCCTTCGTGTGCTTGATGTTAGCCGACACCAGAAATGAAATGAAGTAATCCAATTTGCTCACCGGTTGTCCACCGCCAGTGGCCCAAGTGCTTATTAGTGGCCCCGGACTCGGGCCTTGTCTTGTGACTGACTGACCGC